TCCAGTGATGCAACATACAGCTGGAACAAAAGACGAACTTTCTCAGGCTCTGACAAATCATCCGTTTACTCCCATAAGGGTCAGAAAGAGAAAAAAAAAACTCTTGTAGTGATATGAAAAATACGATCAACTTCAGAAAACAAACAGAAGCGTTTAGTGGTTTTGCAAATCCAGAGAGATGCATTTGTTTTGAGACTAAATGATTAAACATAACAACAACAGTTGATGTTAAATAAGCTCTAGATAAGAGGAGGAGCTGGAGTCTGGATAAGTTTACAGTCAAAGAAACTGAGGAGGATTCAGCCTGCAGCTCGCTCTCCCACGCCACTCTTTAAATCTTATAATGACCTCATCATTTCCAGATCTCCAGCAGGACTTCCCTAAAGGTCCTCCTGCCTGTAACGCAAGGACGTTTGTGTTTATACACAGCCTCACACATGCAGCGTTCTGAAAAGCTTGAGTTTAACACCTGTTACCTTTATGTTTTTATGGCAGGTGAGGTTAGCTGGGAGTCCTGAATGCTGCCAGACTACAGGGAAGTTTGATTTATCTGAAATCTACAAACTAAAAAAAAAAAACCTAATAAAAAGGAAACAACTTGGTGCTTCGCCGCTGCAAAGATTCTTTCTTTTTCTGTCCAGAGAGCTGCATAAAGGGTTTTATTAGTCTCCCAGAGTGGTCAGTTCCTCGATCACTTCTACTCCTGCATCTAATTACTCATGAAATGATAAAAATGATCAGAGGGAATGTTATAAAACTGACTCAGAGCAGATCAAGCTGAACTAATCAAAAGCAAATAAATCCTGCTTCTTTAATCTCTCGCAATTGTTCTGCTAGGACCACCAACAAAAAACAGATTCAGCTCAAGCAACTTCAATCTGAATATAGTGTTATTATGCTATTTATTATTAATGTATAACTTGAAAATAGTCTCATAATGACAATATTATCTTTTATCGCAATAATTGCAGAGACAATTTATCAACCAGCAAAATCTGTTACTGTGCCTCCCTAGTGTGGAGTCACACATAATCAAACTATCTGCTTCAGTCCTTTGTCTAAAAAAAGTCCCATAAATCCAAATAATATGCAAATAAATCTAAATCATCCAGCAAATACATCAGCATCCAGTTTGTGCTGTTCTCAGACATCAGTGGCATGATTTGTTTTTTCGTGAAATCACAAACCGTCCAGCTTTGTTTCGGTAAAGAAACGAGCTGGCACACCGAGACACAAGAGTTTGGAAAAAGACCACCAACATTTAAGGCTCTTACACTGAGACTAAGTCTGAATAACAGCACCCAACTTTCCCTTATGCCCAAGATGCATCATTTATGCCTCTCCACAGGCATTGTGCTGTAAGTGAGGCCCGGTGGTTTCAAGTGTGCAGACAGAGGAGTAATGGAGCATGCACACAGGGATAATGATGGCAGAGGGTGGGCTCAAGCTGAGGTGGAGACACTGAGAGGATACATTAGTCCAACCTGATTGATTCCTTTTCTCCTTCTCCTCTCCGCTAATCCTCCAGGGCAACAACAAATGGCAGGACGCCAGCAATACAGCAAACTCATGAGCCCGACGCTCACCTTGACCTTTCCTTTGCCGACATGCGGACTCAGCCAACCAGAAACCTGACGACTTCATGTCGTTTTTACAGGCTACACGTTTTCCACCTTCAGACTGTATTAATCACAGTAATCTCGTGGTCAAAGCATGTGACCTCTGTGAGTGAAAACAACAAAATCAACGCTGTTATCTCAACAGATATCCATGTTATCGCCACTGTACATTCCTCAGTGACTCAAGCTGGAGGAAGAATAACTGGTAAGCTCAACGGTGAGACAGGAAGTGGTGAGTAGAATTAAATTATAATGGAACAACGCCCCAAACATACAGAAATGGACTATAGTTAGAATAACCCAGCTATAATTCCCCTGGGACTCAGCGCTGAACTTCCTCCTCCAGTTTTACTCTCCCCTCTCTCTCTCTCTCTCCATCCTGTTGTTACTCTCCTTGTTGGTTTCTATGTTCGGTCTCCAGAGGTGAACAGCAGTGGGAGAGAAATGATAGAAAACAGATGGACTGAGATAGCAGCAAGAAGGCAAATATATATAACAAAAAAAATCCACTTTTATGCAAGAGACTAACACAAACATACATGTCTCTTCAGAGTTTGAATAAACTTAACAATGCCCAGACAGGAAGTGGAGTGTTTTACCAACAAACACACACGATTTGTATATTTCCCAGCAGTCCAAATCCACCGTATGATGTTATATACACAAGGGTTCATGCTGTACTTCTTCACATGAAACTGATGCAAATGCCGGAGTTCAAACAGTGCAGCTTGATAAATGTACATCTCTGCTCCAAAACCCCTGCATCGTTCACTTTCCTGGCCAAATGCCAGCATACACTCCCCACTGAAAAGGTATGCGGGAAAAAAAACAAAGGCCATTTGTTCCATGGGGCTGATAACGTGGTGCAAGAAGAAGAAATCTAAAATAGGCTAGGAACAAAACTCTACCTGTCTCACAGCATACATAAAGGTCAACAGGCTGTAAAGAAGAACTTCACTTCTCTAAGATTTGGGCCACACCCTTCATTCACCACTCTGCAGTTTACACTGCCTTTTGTGAGCAACGCACAGGCTCCTTTTATCTCTTGAACGGGAGAGTGAGTTAAAAACACTTGCTGACCAAAATGTACAACAGCATCTGCAACAACTAGTAAAACTGATAAGACCACCTTTCTCAAAATATCCACCCTGGTGTGAGTCATTCCACCTTAGGATTCCTGAAACGCCCGTCTTGGTCCCCGGGAAAAACTCAGAGTGGACACAACGTGCCCTGTCTCGCACTTGCATTGTTTGACTATGTAACAGAATTGGCCACAAATAACAATGAAATAAAATCAGCCACAGTTTACTTCAAGCTTTTAAAATCCCGTTCCCTCATAAATCCCAAGATGACCAAATGTTGCTTGTCCCCGACAATAAAAATCGCACCAGAAAGCCCTACGTAGACCACGAATGTTACTTTGGTGACACCTCAGCTGTCAGCATCTTCTGGTTAAAGTACCTATCGAAAGGCGTTAGCTAACTCCTCCTGACATGTTTATGACTTACAACTGGCAATGAGTGTGTTAAGAGCAATTATCAACACCAGGCGAGACCTTCCACTCCTCAGTTATGTAAGAGTTCAAACCAAACGAAGCCGTTCATGGGACACTTTCGTTTGTAACTGGGCTACTTTTGTTGGATGCAGAACACCGTGAATGAGATGTAGAAGCTAACACGCTAGCGCTTGCAGATGACTCAAGTCGCTAGCCGCTGAGCTAAACCCAACAGCGGTAATACTCTACAGCTGGCTTCAAAACTAGATACACATAGTCGGCGCAGAGAAACCGCTTTCCTCACCCGAGTTAAAAGACACGTCGCTGGGGAAAACTCCAAAGAGAACCGGACTCTGAAGCGACTGCGGCGGCGGATACTCCCGTGTGTCTGAGGTTTGTCACTCGGTCCAACCAAGGGCGGTAACACAGGAAGAGGGAACAGGAGGGAGCCGGGATTGACGTCAAAAGCAACCAATAGGAAGACAGAATGTCTTATGTAAACCAATGGCGTAACTTGTTCCGCCCTCACACAAAATAGAATAAAATAAAATAAAATAAAATAAAATAAAATAAAATAAAATAAAATAAAATAAAATAAAATAAAATTAAATAAAATAAAATAAAATAAAATTAAATTAAAGAGGCACATAGTAATTTATTTTAATATGGTGTATGTAAAATATGCGCAAATATGTCTATATTTCTGACGTTTGATCATTTATTTAGAATTTTTTCAAATATATAAATATTTAAATTTCTTTTGACTATTTTGTAAATATTTAAAATGTTTCACATCTATATGAAACTAAAGTATTCGACTTAATATCGATCGGATACTGACTTGGTAATGTTATCCATGTTTTGGATTCATATATATATATATATATATATATATATATATATATATATATATATATATATATATATATATATATATATATATATATATATGTGTGTGTGTGTGTGTGTGTGTGTGTGTGTGTGTGTGGGGGTGTGTGTGTGTGTGTGTGTGTGTGTGTGTGTGTGTGTGTGTGTGTGTGTGTGTGTGTGCATCATTGCAGTTTTCTGGCCAGACATCAATTACCGATCTTTAAAAAGCCTGTTATTTTGTACCAATTAGTTTGTCTGAAATGTTGCTAAATATTGCAAGAAAGTGGCTATTATTAACTGCAGTCTATCAGTCAAACCTCTGTCATGCAAGAGAAGAACACAGTGGTTGATTTTCAGTCCTTTGCTGAGGTAGATAAGATTGGTAGATAAAATCAGTTTCACATGTAAGTACGGGCAGATCACCGATCTAATACATATATATATATTTAAGTAAGAAAATTGGCCGATAAATCAACTGGTCAATAAATCGTCTGGTTTATAAATCAGTGCACCACTAACAAATGTAAATACACATCTCCAAATAGTATCTATTTCTTGAATTCCATCATACATATATACATTCTCAGTTTACATAAGAAATTATCTGCAATTCTCTAGTGAAACTGGATCTATGAAACATTGTGAATAAATTGAGATGCTCATTTAAGGTATGAATAAATGTAAAGTTACAGGTACAGTGACAATAAACAAGTGTTCATGAGAATAATGGAGGATTATATGTAGCTCGCTTAAATATATTACATTTACACACTGAGGAGTTGAGCCACATATATATCTCCGTCTTGAAGTCTTAGATTATCATTAGTTTATATTACTACTATTTTATTTGTTCTTAAAAGAAATGGGTGATAGGAAAAGCTATAAACAGAGAAACGGCATCGACATCAAATGAAGAAGTTGAAAATTTCACGGAAAAAGTCCAATACCGCCTCCTACCGTCTGACACCCCTTACTGCGACAGCATTTCTGTGACCCAGAAGTAAAGCACTTCCTGCTGCTCGGTGAGGTCACTTCCTGAAGATCCGAGCCTCCAACAGTTCGGAAGAAATGGCGGACCGGGGTGAATTATTCGGCAGCGATGGAGACAGCGACAACGACCAAAGAGGTGCTGAGATCTCCCGGTTGTCTCTTTAGGAAACGTAAAGGTCGTTTGCAACGTGACTATCAGGATGTGACGATTGACCTGTAAAAGTGGGAGTTTAAACGCGGCTCACGTTAATCGAAGTGATTTATTTCTGTCTGTTTTTTATTTACAGGGCCCGTCTGAAGACATCGGAGAGAAAAAAATAAAAAAGCAACTTTAACATTGAAACTTAAACAAGCCGTGGCCATAATTTCTATTTTGTTTTGTTTTTTCTCCGATGTCCACAAACGGGCTACGTAGTTTATTCCATTAAACACCTGAGACCACCGAAATATTTTAACTCCCCATTTTCCTGAAGCATTGACTTACAGCGCTGATTTCTGATCAGTTATCTGGAACTGATCAGAAATCAATCTCCCAACGACAATCAGAGCTAAGCTTATGCAAGCATGCAACATGGCTGCCATCGTGTTTTGGTTGGATCAGAAGACACGAGAAGCCAAGATATGATTGTAGTTTTCTGTATTTAACTCATAAATAATTGAACACTTATAACAAAAGTTCTCTTCAGTCTTTTGGCTTTAAATGCATCAACCACCAGCTTGTATGTTGATGCACTTCATCTTAAGACCAGATAAATAAGGGCGTATTCTTTAATATGGTATCCCAAGATGATTTTGGTATTCCTTTTTTTCATAACTCTGAACTTTAACAAAGAATCTACAGCATGTCTTTTCTTTGTCACGCCTACTAATGCTTGGAAATTAATCTGGTCAAACTTGGAATCGACAGGACAACACCTGAACCCCACATTTGTCTAGTTTATTCTATTAAACACCTGAGATCATCAAAATATTTTAACTCCGCATTTGCTGAAGCATTGACTTACAATGCTTCAGCAAGAGATGCCACGCACAAGAGTGCGTGGCATCTCTTGTGCCACGCTTCAATAATAAAAATTTGTTTTCTTTTACGGCTCAGCAGAGTCCAACTCTGGCTCCGGATCAGACTCGGAGCAGGAGAGGCCTCGATCTGCCAGCAACGCCTCAGGCAGTGACAGTGAGAGGGAGCGGGATGATGACGATGATGATGATGAAGGGCAGGAGGCAGGGAAGCCGAGCATGAACAAGGTCGGCATCCTTCCATGCAGTCGCAAAATTTCACCTTTACAAAGTTTCCATCTCGGTTTCATGCTGTGACAAATCACTTTTTTTTTGTTATTGTTTCAGACCTATCAGTTTTTTCCCACAGATAGCTTAATTGAATAAAAATCTGCCTTCAAAAAAATTTAATAAATAAAATGCAGGTAGCGTTAATTCGCATCAAAAGTGAAGCATAGTGCGCCTCCCCCTCCTGCCTTACAGGAGCTGTTCGGTGACGACAGCGAGGACGAGCAGCGCAGTGGCAGCGACAACCAGTCGGAACGCTCTGGGAACCAGTCGGACCCCAGCATCCACTCTGACCAGGGGGAGAACGATCACTCGGACGCGGAGCAGCACAGCGGGTCGGAGCACGACCAGCGAGAGGAGGACGAGGACGATGAAGACGCAGGGAACCGGTCAGACGGAGGGAGCCCGGCGAGCAGCGGGATGTCCGGTGCCGGGAGCCCTCGTTCTGAGAGGGGCAGTGTTCATTCGGACAGAAGGTATGGGATAGAACCAGTACATTCTCAAAGATCAATAAACTTTAAATCTTAACGAGTATTTAACACTGGGACCGCAAGACATTTTAAATGTCCAAACTGAATAAAAAAAACTAAAGAAACAACAAATAAAATGAATTACGTAGCCTCTGCACACAAAATTGTCCTTTTATTTTCTTTTGGATTAAAAACCTGCATACATTGTTGTATTAAGAAAATAGGCACTGACTTAAAAAAAAGTATGAATTGGTATCAGCTGGAAGAAAATAAAATCTGGTTGGTAAATTTTGTGACAAGTGAATTATGACATTTTTTCTTTTATCATGCAATGATTGCTGCTGGGACCAGACAAGTCATCTGAAAAATGAGGACAGTTTGTTGGAGCTTATGAGCTTATAAGGAGATCTCAAAACAATTTGAAGTGTCATGGTTTGGGGGACGAAGCAGGACCAGGGCAGTCACCATCATACCATAGACTTCACATTTTCTGTTTGGGGAAAATGTGAGGGTCTGCAATATGAACATGACGCAAAACATACCAGTGTATCCATCCAGATCTGGCTGAGAAGGAAGAAATGGAAAGTCCTCGGCCTAGTCAAAGCCCAGATTGAAACTTTACTGCGACTTGAAACAGGCTTTATGTTCAAGCATCTCAGAGCTGGAAGTGAGAAAGGTGAAGTTTCTTCAGAATGACCTCAGAGACATGAGCCATTGCAGGGCAGGGTCTCCTAACTGTTCCTCACATGTTTTATGTTTAATTAATACAATAATTACTACTTTTTTCTCAGAGATAGAAAAAAAAGCATTGAAATATGAGAAAATCTGTTTCATCGGGTGTGCTAACTTTTTTACATAATTGTATAGCTTGAAAGGAATTACACACAAAACTCGCTTATTTCTCCATTTTGGGAATGTTTGTTGTTAAGCCGTCAGTCTCATTTCCTTGACTTTGTTTTGTTTTGGGACAGCACAGTCCTCAGCCCCGACGCGGACGGGGAACCAGTCTGAAGAATGAGGCGAGAGCGACCAGTCTGAGGACGAGGAGGAGAAGCGTCACTACTCCGACGAGGACAGGGAGAACTCTGACGACGACGGGCCAAGGACCAGGAAGCCAGGTACCGTCCTGTGGTTCTGAAGGTGAAAGAGATGAGGCACGTGAGGCGGATCACGAGGCAATGGCATGCTAATCTTTAAACGTTTTTGGGGGCGGGGCGTTTGCGGATTACTGTTAAATGTGATTATTATTTATCTTGTCGTTAATATGAGACGACGTTCCTGGCTTGACCTTTAGGGCGTGATCAGAAGCCTTCCTTCAGTGAAACATGTGCTCAGGGAGGAGTTACTCTGTTTTTCCTTCACATGCTCTGGATTTCATTCGTTGCAGAGTCTGCAAAGGGCAGCGACAGCGAAGATGACTTCATCAGACAGAAAACCAAACCCAAAGCCGCATCAGATTCAGATTCTGACAGCGACGGCGACACAAAGAAACGTAGGGAATGTTGCTCCTCCCCATTAGATCTGACATTTTGTTGCTCCTTTTTTTCTTTTCAATGTGGTTTATTCTACCCTCTGATCCGTAGCAACAAAAGCGGCTGCGGACGATCTGTTTGGAGAAGCTGACGACATTTCTTCAGACAGCGACGCAGAGAAGCCGCCAACCCCGGGGCAGCCTCTGGTAGCCAACTGTTCTCATTTGATTATTTATTTTTTCTTCTTGATCTAGTCGTAGAAGCCTCACTCTGCATTCAATCCTACTGTGTGTGTGTTTTGCTTCTGCAAAGGATGGAGAGGATGGCTTGGACGGGGAGCAGGCGGAGGAGGAGCCTGCGCCTGAAACGCGCATAGAAGTGGAGATCCCCAAAGTGAGCACAGACCTGGGGTCAGACCTTTATTTTGTCAAGCTACCCAACTTCCTGTCAGTGGAGCCCAGGTCAGAATCCCCAAAATGTAGAAATGAACATTTTACATGGTCAAACATGTTAAACCAAAAAAAAGTGATTTATTCAGAGTTTTTCCTTTCGTAGACCCTTTGACCCTCAATACTATGAGGATGAGTTTGAGGATGAAGAAATGCTGGATGAGGAGGGACGGACCAGACTCAAACTTAAGGCAAGATTTTGCTGAATCAAAATAAAACAGACATTTTTTGTTATTGTAGCTGAATGTTTGCTCTGTTATGTTCCTTTTATCCCACCACAGGTGGAAAACACAATCAGGTGGAGAGTGAAACGAGATGAGGAAGGCAACGAAACACGAGAGAGCAACGCACGTATTGTCAAGTGGTCTGACGGAAGGTGTGTGTTTTACAGCTTAATGCTGCAGTATGTAACTTTTAAAAAAAAGTATTTTATTTGACATATTTATTGAAACTGTCACCATGTCAAAGCAGTATGGTCTGAAACAGGTTGTGTGTGAAAAATTGAGCTTCTTTGTCTTCTAGAAACAATAAATCAGAGCCAGGAGGTGTGTCTCAGCACTGTCAATCATCCTCATGCGTGCGCTGCTCATCCCATTCACCTTCTTCTCTGCACTTTCTTCTTGATTGCAGTGCCACAAATGCTCAGGCTTGTTAGAATAATTGAGGATAAACGGTTCACGGAGTTGTTTTTTTTCATTAGAACATTGAGTAGCGAATACTCGAGGTTGATTGACAGCGTTAAGGCATTCCTCCTCCTCCCAAGAGCGGTTCACTTCTTCAGTCAGCAATAGTAGCACTTGGAGGAGGTATATGATTGTGATTTTTTAAAAATTTCCACAGACTATCTATCTAAGGTTATACTGTGACATAGTGATATGTCAAATATGTAAAAACATTTTTTATTTTTTTTTTAAAGAAGTTACATGCTGCAGCTGTTCTGTCGTGGTGTTATCCGTGTTTGACATGTTTTTTAAGCGTCCCGTTCTCACGGCAGCATGTCCCTCCATCTGGGCAACGAGGTGTTTGATGTGTACAAAGCTCCTCTCCAGGGAGACCACAACCACCTGTTCATCCGACAGGGAACGGGACTGCAGGGACAGGCTGTGTTCAAGACCAAACTCACCTTCAGGTACCGTGCAATCGTTGCACTCCGGACTGAAATCTCTCACCCGTTCTTTCTCTCTTTTTTTTTTTTTTAGTTTTGTTTTTTTGAGCAGCACAAAATGAGTAGTTAAGAGATAACCCTACTGCGTCTGCCGCTCGGACAGCAGAACAAGCAGTAAACAAGCGTCAGTGTGCCAAAAAAAAACAACAACCACCAATCAGGGATCATTCAGAAATGTTCTCTATGCAGTAAGTCTCTGGATCACCTTGTACAAGCTGGCCAGGTTTTTCTCAATAAGAGCCATTTAAGCCTCTTTTCCCCCTCATGCCCACCTGAATGTTCTGTCTTCTCAGAACACACGAGTGCGGTCAGCCGTCGTTCAGACCTGGTTTAGTGTGCCTCGACCCAGCCGGCTCCCACACTGAACATTACAATATGTCTTGGTGGATTATTGGGAAGATTAGAGCCAAAGCTGTTCCCTAATGTTCTCTCTCATTTGGAAGATGTTTTAATTTACAAGATTGATCCTTAAGTATAAAGAAAACTTTGTTTAGGTTATCTTTGAGCTGAATTGATTGAAATAGACGGGCAAGATACACAAGATGTTCTCATAACTTTCCAAGGATCAGAGTTTTCAAGGTACCAGACGTCAAAGGTTATTTTCTGGATCTTAGGAAGCCTGGTGATTAAAGGTTTCCTAGAAAGTACAAAATGTGTGCTACATCTTTGATACAAATTTCACAATGAAGCAGTTTGAACTAGGTTGTTATGATGGTGAATAAATGTAACATCTGAAAGTTTCCTTTAGATTTTGCTTTATTTTTTGGTTTCTTTGGTGTTGCTAAAGTTACACTAGTCTAGAAAATGTCAACTCCAAAAAACATCACTATTCACTATTTGGTAATATTACTGCCATCTGTTGTGTTTTTCTTGTGCGGCTCCAGACCCCACTCCACAGACAGCGCCACCCACAGGAAGATGACGCTGTCTCTGGCCGACCGCTGCTCAAAGACGCAGAAGATCAGAATCCTCCCCATGGCTGGAAGGGATCCCGAGTCACAGCGCAACGAAATGATCAAAGTAATGCTCGCTGGCATTCTGTCCGTCTGTGCCTTTCCATTTTTTTATGATGACCTTTCTTTGTGGAGTCCTTTTGTCTCGGCTGAGGCTGAAGCGGTTTGCATGAGGCCGGTTGCTGATAAGCATCGTACCGGGTTACATAAAGGCATAACCTGCCGCACTTATGTAACGAGGTCAGGCAACTGTCAGCGAAATTTAAACTGTATCGGCATCAACACCGAGACTGGACGGGGATCCGCGGTCAACCCAAACAAGCCCGACTGATAGCATCGCGTAAAGTTTTACAGCCTGAGCGCGCCCTGTGGGGATCGGCTGGTCAGGAAGAGCCTCGGTGGGTGAATCTTCAGTCAGCGTGTCGGAGTGTGTTTCTGACAATTACCTTAACATGTGGCTTATCGCCTGTTGTTTCTCAGTAAACAGCATTATTACCACTAGACAGAGTCAGCAAAGCAGCTTTTGTTCAGAGGAACAGCTTATTCAAGCGAAGACTGAGAACAAGATTTGGTTCTCAAGAATTTCTTTTTTCCAAGCCAAAGCAGGCCAGGCTGGCAGGAGGGCAAGAACTCCCCTTTACTAAACCAGTGACGCTTAAAGGTGTTCTTTTAGGTTTATAAAGGGATTATGATATCTTTGACTGTATCGTTTTGTTTTGCACTGAAATCCGCCGCAGGCCGTGTAAATGTGATGTGGGTTGAAGTTTTATAAAATATTTGCTCTGAATAGCAGAACTTTTGCCTCCATGAGCAACTGAGCTACTGAAGTACACAACTACCTACTGCAGATATGACCATTACTGCTCATAATTGCCCAATTGAGCCCCATGGCAAACAATCTAAACATTTCCTATACGCTTAAGTTACTTACGGTACATGTGTGTCCATTGCCTATTTGGTTGCTGCTGGCTTAGAAATGAAAATAGAGAGAAAACGAGGTGCTTTCCTTGGTGAAGCATGTTCCAGGTATCAATAAATGTGGGTCAAAGAATAGGAAACACATTCATAATTTTTAGACCCTATACATTGCAATTTTAAAAAGACCGAAGTCTGAATTTAAAAAAAACGTAAACAATGCTTTCACATTTTTAAAAAAATAACACGTACATACTTCAACTTATCTCTAGCAGCAGCAGCTTATTTGCCAGATTTCTAGAGAAAAAAGGCTCTAAATCAAATGAGAAAACTTTTAACTACAGGTCAGCATTCCCCCCCCCCCAAAAAAATAAAAAATAAAAAATCCTAAGGCCACTGTATTCAAAACATTAACAAAGAGGGAAATTGTTGATGTTTTGTTTTATTTGCAAATCCTTTTTGCTTTCATTCTCTTGATTCTTAAATACCTTCTATTGGATTTTATTGTATTACAGGGAATAATAAAAGCCTGTCACTAGCTCATTGAAAATAATCTTGAAATGAAAGCAGTCTGGAAACTGACAGAAAAATCAGAACAATTGAGCTAAACTGTGGAATTTGGACATGATACGATGAGGTGGAGCTTGTATTTGTAATATTTGAAGCCGTCCTCTGAGTTTGGTAAGTATTCCTTCATATGAAGGCAGAAATATGTAACATAAACACAGGACTTCTTGTAAATGATTTAATCTAGGAAAAAAATAACCTTTTTGAAAAAATGAGAACATTTAATGTCTAATTTGAGAATTAAAAATAGCAAAAACAAGTCTTTAAAAAATAAAGTAAAGCTTTTGCAACTGGAGTCATGTCTCTCGCTTCAAATTTTGAAACCTTGACCTGCTGTTCAATTGTTCCTTTTCCTCTTTGCTTCTTTTTTGTTGGTGATAAAATCTTCTAATTGAGTCTGACGTCTGTATCGACAGAAAGAAGAGGAGCGTCTGCGGGCGTCGATCCGTAGAGAGTCCCAGCAGAGGAGGATGAGGGAGAAGCAGCACCAGAGGGGCCTGAGCAGCAGCTACCTGGAGCCCGACCGCTACGACGACGAGGAGGAGGGCGAGGAGGCCATCAGCCTGGCGGCCATCAAGAGCAAATACAAGGGAGGAGGAGGCCTGAGAGGTAGCCGCACTCGTTTTCTTCTGTTCCTTATTTCTCACCGATATTCATTCCTAACAATTCCCCCATCTTCATTTCAGAGGAGAGAGCGAGAATCTACTCGTCGGACAGCGACGAAGGCTCTGATGACGACAAAGCCCAAAGGCTGATGAAGGCCAAGAAGCTGGACAGCGACGAGGTAGGCGCAGCGCCCCGGTGGACAGGCAGGGGGCAGTGTGAAGTAGCACACCGGGTGAAACGCCAACCTTTTCCACTCAGCCTGATGTGAGCTGAACCGGACAGGAAGTCCTGACTGTTCCGTAGTGCGTGCGTGTGTGTTTGCATCCCGCAGCAGTGCTTTTCCTCAAATCAAGACGGTGTCAGAAAAACACACAGCTTGGCGTGATAAACGCAAATCGCAGGGAAGCTAAACTGAACGTCTTCTGCTGTCAGCTCTGTAATCTCTTCATATCCTTTGTTGTTCTCAGGAGGGCGAGGGATCAGGCAAGAGGAAGGCAGAAGACGATGAAGAAACGACCACTAAAAAGGCCAAGAAGTATGTCATCAGTGATGAAGAGGAGGAGGAAGAGGACGATGAATAGCTTTTTTTTAAATATTATTTTTTTTTTTTTTTACCTTTTCCACTGTATCATCAGTGGTCGGTCCACCTGGTGTATAAATAGCCATGTTTTGTATATTTTCTTATGATCTGTGTGTGGGTGTGTTAGTTTGTTTATTTTCTGTACAGCAGTGAGGTGAGAAATAAACAGTCGTCTTATGCAACCGAAGCTTCCCTGGAAGCCTCCTCTTGTTTTTATTTTTGCATTATGAATCATGCATGAATCACACGGTTGTTGTGAGATGATAAAACATAATGTTTAGTTCAGCTTGCAGACAACAAACAAGCCTTCATTAGGCGGCCGCTAATTCCGTTTTAGTAAATGCTCTGCTGGTTTTGTACTGGAAGCATTTGTGGCTTCAGGCCACGAAACTGACCCTTGAGCAAAGGGACTCGACAATGTAGTTTTACAAGAAACGGCGAAGCTTGGAGGGCATTTTTGGATTTGAGATTTGGAGATGAGAGAGAGTGAAGCGCCGGAGGAGAAAATACATTTTCTTCCAGTGTATTCTTTGTCTTACAAATAAAAACATTCAGAATACAATTCACCATAAACATCCAATTGAACATTAAATGTTATCATCCCGGGCCTTGAGTCTGCTTTAGTTCATTCATTTTCAATAATGCCATGCCAGCAGAGATGTACATGGAGCTCATAGAAAATGAACTTGGTTTATTTGTAAAGAAATGATTCACCACACAAATGTTTCACAAAGGTTGAGATCGAGCGACGGAGCTGCCTCGACTGGCTGAAAGCAGAGAGAAAGCAGCCGCACTGAACCATGTGAGCTTTTGAGGGCAAAAAGAAATGGTTAACTGCAGCAATCATTGAAAAATATATTAAGAATGCACAACAGGAAGACAACGGGGATAAGCAAAAGTGGTCAGGATGTCCTGCAGCAACTTTAAAATGTATCAGCAGGGTAACCCGTGTCGTCTGAACTGTGACCTTTATCAAGTTTTGATCATGTGACTCCATCGTCCCTTTCCCAGAGTAGATGACATTAGGTTTCTGGAAAAAACATTTCTGTCTTAACTTTATCAACTTGATGTTTTTAAAGTAAAACAGTTTTTTTCCCCACAGTCAGTTAGTTCATGGTACTTTCTCTGTAAAGGATTTAAAAAGTAAGAGTTCTGAGAAACAGGGGATAACAAAGAATAACTCCTCTAAAATGTAGCGTCTATGATGGACATTTGCTAAAATACTATTCCGTACAGTGTTTCATATTTGTTTTTGGGTTTTTTTCTCATATGTCCCCTGGATACCGAAGTGTATCTTTTTAAGACATCGTCGACATCAAGGTATTTGGGATTTTAGGAAAAGTCCGAGTATATTCTGCTGGTTAAACCACAATTTTTTTGTTTTGTTTCAGAAATTTGACCTTATTTAAACAGGCTTTCCAACAATATGACAACATTTGCCAGGAAGAATTGCTACAATAAACAAGAGGTCAACCAAACACAATTCCCCTTAAAAAGAATGTCACCGGGCTCGTTACAAACTCACAAAGTGATCCTACAGACCCGAGTCCTATATGTAGTGAAAAGCGAAGCGCTTTCGTCACATGGTGCAAGTCAAGTTGTACCGTGTGATGAACATTGACCTAGGCATGTATTATGCAACTGCTAATGTTGTTAAGTAACTGAGTAAAAGCCAGGAGTTCAAGCAGGGCAAATCAGGCAGTTTAGAAAAAGGGTGCACTGTGGGAGATAATAACACCCTTCAGAAGCATTTTCCCTGGCTGGATCTTTTTAATGGTGGCATTATGCTGTTTACCCTCCAGCAGATCCTGAAGCTGTGGCGGGATCATCAGCAGGTATGCAGCTCAGTTATCGACGTCAGTGCTCCAGCTTTTGGAGCACAGCGAGGTGAGGCATTGTGACTTGATCCCCTTTGAGCCACACAGTAAGAGGAGAAAGGAGAGAACAAGAGCCATGGTTACTGATTCATGTTCAGCTGCCAGAATGACGCACAGAGTTTCTCTCTCGTTCACGCACGCACACAGACAGGCAGAGTGTCCCAGAGAAGGACGACAGTCCTCCAATGGGACCAGTCTCGCCACCCTGTCCAGACAGAACTGGCTGCAGCAGCCCAGAGTGCAGAAATTACATAAAATGTCTGCATCCTCCCTCTGTACGCCATCTACTCAGGACTGCAGTGTTTCAACAGAGCTGTTCATATTATCAAGTGTTTGAAAGTCCCTTAGAAAATTCATAATGAGGCTGCGGTGGGCAGCGCATCTCTGGAAACGTGAACTTTCCCATCGTTAACTCACAACAGGTCTGTGCGTAGAAGACTGAAGAAGCGCGTCTCTTCAGCCGACAGCCTGCATCACCTTGTGGCAGATGCAGAATTCAAATTTGACTACGCTGAATGTAAATGTTGTCTGTGTGTTGCCTTTGAAGAGAAAGTGCCATCGGCAGTGGTGTGTGCTGCGTTATCACAGACTGCAGTGTGTTATGTAAACCCACTTTCACTCGGCGAGGAGAAGGGAAGGGAGGGGAAGGCACTGCTACAGTCAGCACCGACTGAGAGGGGTGGAAATGAGGGGAGGGCTGCAGCATTTTACTTCTTTTTTTTGTTTTTGTTTTCTCCTCCCAGTTGTATTTTTTTAGTTTTTTTTCCCTGTTTGAATCTTTTATTTTCCTCTATTAGCAACCAAAATCTTTCCTGTCCTAACATGGTCTGGAACTCTGGAGCATCACATTCTCTGCAATGGAAAGTGCAGCCCTGCAGGCAGACTGTGAAAATGGCTGATTCAAGTTGCATCAAAAAAAAAAAAAGAAGCTAAATAAGCAACTGTTCTGCCAATTAGGTCAGAGTAAAGACACCGACTGGGCCAGCAGTGAGCCAGATTGCCTGGGAGAGAACAGTCCTCCAACCATTTTTTGAAACTGGTTTTTATTTAATTCTTGCAGGGTCGCTGATATTTGACTCCAGTCGAGATTCGGGGTGCACCCCGGAGAGGTGGCTGGTTTGTCCCAGGCCATCGCACGGAGACACACAAGACAGACAACACGAACACGCTCACACTAAAAGGCCAATTTAGAGCCTCCAATTGACCTAACCTATTGTAGTTTAGAGGTTGGAACTAGAGTGTTCAATGCTTCAACATACCAGAGTCTTAAACAGGAGACAGTTGAGGTACCTCCTCAGCTCGTCCGTTCGCAGGAGTTTGTTAATGGCTTAGGCGAAGCCGTGGTCAAGTTTAGTCAAAGAAAATAGAGGTGGGGACCAATGAAAGCAATGACTATTATAAAGGAAGCTGCACAGTCTTTGGTGCAAAAATATTTAAAGAATATGTAGAATCTGTTTATGAGTAAAATTGCTTTAAAGTACAATTATAAATAGTATGAAAAAGATCTGTTGCAGAAAGCGATTCTTTAAATTCTGCATTATACATTTTTTTTTCTTCAAATAATCTAAACCAATAGAATAATAAAACTACCAAAATATTTTTGAGGTTTGATATGCTACCCTGAGGTGACCTCCACTTTGAAAACAGTTTGGAAACAACCAAGATGCTGGAGTATGTGTACTTTGAATGATATGGATTGTTGTTTGTTTGTTTCTTTGTTTTTTTTTTAACCTGTCCAAGCAGTGTGGCAGTCAGAATTGTCTTATGAGTGTTAAAGGTGAGGCCCAATATATTTACTTTCACAAGTAGAGCAGTATGGCTTTGGTGAAACTTTGTTAGAAACGGTCCTGGGTTTGTCTCAAATGTAATGAATACAGAGATGAAGAAGGGAGAAGAGGAGAGGAAAAAGTTTAAGGGAAAAAGATAGAAGTAGAGGAGAGAAAAAATCACATGACACAATTAAATATCCTTGTCGTTTGGCTCTAGACCTGCAGAAAGAGAAACAAAAACAAATCTAAGGAACAAACAACATATCAATATCTAATAATAACATTTATGGCTACAGATAAAAGGGCCAAAATCCTTCCTAACAGCTTCTATCATTTCTGTTTTGACCCCAATGGATCGAGCAACAGCTGGTGGAGGTCACAATCCACAAACCTTTACAGGTCAAACCTTTACATGGTCAATAAACAATAATTACTAAGGTGACTCATCGTTATTTTTGAACACTTCAGCATTACATAACATAAGCATGAGTCGGCACAACGACACGCACAATATAGTTTCAGTTTTTGGATATATAGGTCAGCGGACATCGTCTCCGGTTCCAGCTGGTCGGCGTCTTGCATGTTGGGTGCAGCCATGCGTCAACACCTCCTGGTCAAATGAACACCCTGCAGATTCAGATGTTCTCCTGAGGAGACAGTGCAGCCTCTTGAGTCGAGTGGGTGGGAGCACAGGCTCATTAAAATGTTGAAGGACGAGGGCTTTCAAGAGAGGTTTAGTGAGGAGCCACTGACTCGGGATCTACCGATATAAATTCAATCTATTATTTAAAATCCATTTACAACAGGAGGATCATGTAAATATAAATCACTGTTTTGTGGTTCTTTTCTATGTCACATGACTTCTTTCACTGTATGTTAGACCAAACGTGGCTGATTGACAGATTTTTTTGGTGGTCTTTTATTATCATGATATAAATATGCATGTTATCCAGCTCTTGCTGAATATCAGCCATATGCTTGAATGTAGTAGATGAGCACCTTGGTGATGAGGCGAATACACACACACACACACACACACACACACACCCACACACACACACACACCCACACACACACCCCACACACACACACACACCCACACACACACACACACACCCACACCACACGCACACACACACACACCCACACACACACACACACACGCACGCACGCACACACACACACACACACACACAGCTATGAAGTGAGGTGCAGAAATCATTACTTATTATTCAGTCTAATTAATGATAGACTGGCTGAGATTGGTTGAGATTTCTTTTTTTTTTCATCTGAACCTCTCAGTGTCACTATAACCTCGATAAAACCATTACTGCCTTTCTCTGTAGGTCTGAGATTAAATTTGTGGAAAAAGAATGCATTTTCCACAAACAGACACAAATAGCTAAAGTCCTTGACATGTCTAAAACTGTAACTAAATAAGTGTTTGTCTAGTTCACACATCTTCAAGAAGCACACACACACACACACACACACACACGCTAAGTAATTAGTCAAATGCTCTAACTGGCTGACATT